TATAAATCACTTACTGATTCTTCAAAACTTGATAACGGACACGAACTTTATATCCAAATCATTCCTGATAAAGAAAAAAACGTTCTTATGTTACAGGATGCTGAATTGGCATGACCAAGGTTATGAAAGCTAATAGTGAAAAATTAACTTTATATTCTATTAGTAAAAATGATCTACATACGCTCTATAGTAAATTTGGACTTTGACTTTTTATTCTTTTGCATGATCGTTTCTTTTCTTTTTCTTTTATTACTTATTGGCTTTTCTTTGACGTTTGATAATTCTATGCCAACAAGTTCAACCCACTTATCGCAGGTACTTTCTATTTGATAGTCAATTATCCCATTCCATTCTTTAGTAACTACATTCGTAGTATTCACCATTATCACGTAACCTTTACGTTTATGAATTGCTTTAGCGAAGTCTTTTATAAGACGTTTCACTCCTGAGGAGGTATCTGTTCGGATAAAAGATGATTCTCATGAATAGTTTTTGACATTGTTTTAGAAAAATTACAGATGCTCGTTTTCTGCCCTTGATTTAGTCGGGAAGAGATTTCATTCATTGAATAATGAATTTTTTTTTTTGTTCTCTTCCTCTTTTCGTGCGGACGACGAGGTTGGTATTTTATTCAGGATATTTTTGCATATGCTCTAATTTGGCTATATCGGCCAGAAGTTGGAACTTTAATTTTACTTCCAAGGGTTCTTTATGCCACATGTCACCGACTTTTTTTGAAACCTCATTATTAGAAATATTCTTATCATCAGCAACTATCACTGGTTGTTTGGATTTGCGGTAGAGAATAAAAGAGTTAGGGGGAGTTTTTTTGCATTAGCATGTTTGGAAATTGTAGGGAGCTCAGAAGATTTTTCAGAAGTTTTTGGCATTCTGGAGAGCTCCTCATTACCATTGTTTTTCACCAAAAGATCATGGTGCTTGTTTACAATGGATTGTGCGGGTCAAATGGAAAATTCTATGGAATTAAGTATTTTCATATAAGTTACAAAAACACGATTCTTTGCTTTATGTAATATCATTAAATGACGCGCGCAATATAATACTTGTATCGGTTTTAGATCCTGTTCCATTTTGAGTATTAGTAAAATATTTTTCGAATAATTCTTGTACCGGTTCTAGAACTTGGTTCCATTTTGAATTATTGAAGTTTATTTATGTCCGGAAGCTGACTCATATATTTTTCAAATAAGTATTAACATAAAGATATACGTAACGCGAAAAACAAAGAAATTTTTTATTAATTAGTAACGTATTAAGAATGAATTAAAATATTTTCGCGTAAATTACAGCTGATTTCAAATTAGTGGTACTCTTTTATGAATCATCTAACCTTTGGAAAACCACGTCACTGTCTTTGGAACTCCGATCCGAAAATAGAATGAGATTTCCGAAGATTTAAATCTATTCATGGGTCGTAACATATCTGATATAGATTGTGAAGCAACAATACTAACAAATTCAAAGATAATTAATTCAAACAAAAATTATAAAAGTTTTGAAAAAATTATAATAATTTTGTTAAAACAATTTCTACCACGCTGAATGAAAAAAATATGAACTATATATCTTGTTTGGGTGTCAAATGCAAGTATATATTCATTATTTAACAGAAATCCAATGGATACCGGTAATTAAATCGAAATTTCTAATGATCATTAAATTTAATTATATACAATTCATCAATTTAAATAAATTGGCATATCATTCATCGGTTGAAGCATTAATTTTTTTTAATAATGTCAATTTCTTTTGACAAAGTACATTTATTTAATTATTTGAGTAATGATAATTCTATTTATTTGTTATAATGCTCGGAAATATAATAAAGGAACAAAAATATTAAATATAAATGAAATAATACAAAGCCATTGATTGATTTTATAATATGGCAATTAATAGAAATCAAGCAAAATTTTTTATAATAAAATTTTATTGAAACTTTGATCAGAAATAACTAAATCAAATTTGATAAAAAATTTTAAATAAACTTATAGAATTAATTTAAAAAAAATTGATTTTTTAAAAAAATATTTACAAAAAAAATTTGCTTTATTTCTATTGACTCACCCTCATATATTTCCAGATTCATTTGCAGTGGGGGCAAAAAATTCATTGGATGCAATTGTATCTAGTGATGTGCCATTTATAATATGATACCTGAAAATTTTAGCGTATATATCGTTCTTTTCATTGGTTGGCAGAAGTGACCGGCCGGAAAAAATTTTATACAATACTTATTGTATATTACGTTTTTATAATAAATAAAGGAATTCTGTTTTATATAAATCAAAGGTGTTTTTCACTTTAAAACTTAAAATTTCCCTAAACTTTATTTTTTTCAACAACAAATTTCAACACCGCAATGATGTTACCAGCAACCAATTTGATTACCAGAGTTAATTCGCTCACTCATGCTTTAATTTTACAATTCTTAGAATCAAACAAGTATAAGAATACTTTGGCAGAATTCCGTAAGGAGGCTAATGAAATTATCGAAAATAATCCTAAATTATTTGATGAATTGCCTTTGACCGCAATTGTACAAAATTATATTATGGAGGAAATGAAAAATGATGTAGAGAAAATAGATTTGGAAAATTGGTAATAAGAAAATAATAATATTTTTATATTTTTATAAAGACAATTGTGACAGATTAAAATGAAATCGGATTAAAATGAAAATTTTCTGTTTTTTAAGCAAAATTTTAAAATTTTTTAGGTGACATTTTTTGGGGTTTTTTAGCATTAGGGTTAGGGTTTAGGGTTAGGTTATTAATAAACGAGTAGATGTGGGTTTTATAATTTAAAGGTGAGCAAGAGAGATCCCAGTTTCATTTTAATCTGATTTCATTTTAATCTGCAACAATAATTAATTATAGGCTAATTATTTTAATTATTTCGATATAAAATTACAGTAAGATAGACGATGATTTATATACCCCCGGGACCACTATATATCCTCGTTATATCTGCGAAACCTTCTCTCAAATTCATAGTACAACCATTCTCACTGTTCGTACTCAAAACATTCAACTCACAAATTATAATGATAATGACTACGAATCCATTCAAATTCCCATGATAATCACCGGCTCAGCTGATAAATCCATAAAATTCACTTCTTTGCTAACTGGTGATATATATAATGTTTGTGATGTTCACAAAGGTGGAGTTCTTGCTATTGATTTTCATCCCATTTATACAACAATGATGTTAAGTGCTTCAATGGACGGTAGCGTCATGTTAATCAATGCTTCTACTATGGAAGTTAAACAAATTTTTAAAGATCATAACAAATATGTTGTTCGAGCAAAGTTTTCACCAGATGGAAGCATGCTCTTTACTGCTAGTTATGATCATACTTTAAATATTTATAAGTTCTGCGGTTCCTCAACACCACGTCTTTTTTCTCCGCATATTGTAAATTCGTCAATTCCGACTTCTCCACTAATGCCCACAACTCCTTCAACACCACCTACACCATCCACACCACTTCCCATATACTCTAAAATACATACTATAATCTTTGAATCAAACATTGAATCTCTTTGTATTCTTCCAAATTCAAGTTACTTAATCGTAGGAATTCGTGATTCTAATTATCTTCACTACGTTAATCTTCAACATACCAATTCTAAGACCCAAAATTTCGAAATCACGAAACACAATATGAATGCAAATGGTGGTGATCGGGTATCGTTTACAGCAATGGATATTGTCGCTAGTCCCAATAATGGTGGTAAATACTTATTGGTCGCGACTGATGATGAAAATGGTAGAATTATCATGTTTAAAACATTTAATACAAATGATATTAACAAGAATGAAGATATTGCGTCTTCAACATTGATCCAATTAGCAAACTTTTATGACATACCTTCACCAGATTCGTCCCCAATCTCTTCATCTCCAACAATCCCATCGATCGCTATTCGAAAATTTACATACCCGAGATTACTCTGGCATTCATCAGGAAAATATTTTTATGCCTGTGGTATAGATGCCTATCCACGTGTCTACTCAATTGAATCCAAAAGATTAGTTGATAAATTAAAAGGTCATGTTAAAAATAATGGCGATTCAAAAATTAGTAATTCAGAATCTGATAATGATAAATTAAGTGGTCACTCCGATGTTGTGCGTGAAATGTGGTATGATGAAGAAAGAGATTTGTTGATTACTTGTGGTTTTGATAAATGCGTGAAAATTTGGGGAAGTGATGAATTATGCAGAGAATTGATGAACGACTTGAAAGAAGAAGGAGAGAAAAAGAGGAATCAAGGGTTTTTTGTGAGAAGGAATACTATTGTTTAATGAATTGTAAATGATTTGGTCGTTTATAAATTCTTGCCCTTATTGTGAATTTACCAGAAACATCTTATATATTGATATACAATAATAGCATAAGTGTCCTTTATTTTTATCAATTTATCAACTTAAATCCAGTCGAAGAACTTGATAAATATTTTTTAAACTCATGAAAAATCAATCTATACGATGTTATACAATTTAAATACTGAAGTTACGCATCATTACAAGACGCAGCAAAAATTTTTACACGACTTTATGGGTTTAATTTGATCAGAATTCGATATAAGTTTAGTAAATTATCTATAGCCATTTTTTGTAAATATAATCAAATTATGCACATAATAAATCCGCAGATTCCTAAAAATTTTTGCATGCGGAATTAACTTTCATATAGATTTTAAACACTGCCTATGAATGTGAAGTATTTATTTGCAAACTTAATTACACTGGGGCATAAAGGCTGGTAAACTTTACACCAAAATTTCATATTTCATTATTATAAAAAAAAAACCAAATAGCTGGCAAATAGAACAAAAACTCAATATTTGTCATTAATAATTTGTTTAACAATATAAACTCTATCAAAAATTTAAATTTCTCCGTTTTAATAATATTATCTGGGTCTTTGTTAGACGAATATTCATAAGTTAATGATAATTAAAATAATAAATGATTCTATGATTTTGGCCGGTATTCTAAAAGATTGACAATATTTTTTGTGACAGATTTTTCCAGTAAACGCCGCTCATGATCT